CCTAAACCCTAAACCCTTGGGAAAGAGAACGCAGTTTGTGTATGCCCTCCTAACGTGTTTAGGGTTTAGGGTTTAGGGTTTAGGGTTTTGTGATTTGCTGTGTGTAGATCCTCCCCGAGTGGCAGCAGTTCTCGACAGCCGAAGAGCTCGCCAACATGTAACCCTAAACCCTAAACCCTAAACCCTAAATATTCCCCTGGTGGAGAGGGCATTCCCTGGGGTTTAGGAAAAATGTTCGTAGGAGGGTTTAGGGTTTAGGGTTTAGGGTTTAGGGCTTGCTGTTTTCTGCTCAGGCTTGTTTGTATCCTTCGGGGGTTCCCAGGGAGGTTTGATTTAGGTGTACGTACGCAGCTGCTGCAGCAGCCTTCGTTGCTGCTGCAGCAGCGCTGCAGCAACGCTTTGCTGCAGTGTGTAGGGCGTTGCTACAATCCTTTGCTGCACTGCAGCAGCAGCAGCAGCAGCAACAGCAGCAGCAGCAGCATTAACTGCAGCAGCAACTGCAGCAGCCCACGCAGCGATATTAGTGCTGCTTACTTTACAGCCAGCAGCAGCATGACTCTCCCCTTCTATTCCTTTGGCAGCAGCGGCCGCAGCCGCAGCAGCAGCAACAGCAGCAGCAGCAGCACCGGGGACGTGCGCGATTATGCTGAGCAGCAGCAGCAGCAGCAGCAGCAGCAGCAGATAGTGTCCCCTAGAGCAGCAGACACTTCCTCTTGGGGTTGTTTGCTCTTTGATTTGCGAGTCTTAGCTGAGCGTGCTAGAGACAGCAGCAGCAGCAACAGCAGCAGCAGCAAGTGCAGCAGCAGCAACAGCAGCAGCAGCAGCAGCAGCAATGGTTATAGGGTTTTCCCCGAGGAATGGCGGCGTGTAGCGCTGCCTGTTTTGCAAAGATTGATGAAGTAGATTTTAGGGTTTAGGGTTTAGGGTTTAGGGTTTAGGGGTGGACGTGTAGTTTGCTCGTATGAATGAAGATGTGGGGTTTAGGGTTTAGGGTTTAGGGAAGGGCTTATAGTGCTCTACTATTAAAGAAGGGTTTAGGGTTTAGGGTTTAGGGTTTTATGTTGCTGCATCTAGCAGCATTCATCCCTACCTCGAGAAGAGGGGGATTTAGCCTAAACCCTAAACCCTAATTCTAAACCCTAAACCCTCAAGGGTTTATGGACCCTTCCTAAGCTGTGCATACAGCTGAACTGTTGGGACTGTCATGCCGCATGCAGCGGCAGCAAAGCCTGTCCTTTAGCGGCTGCCAAACCCTAAACCCTAAACCCTCGGCGTAAGCGCCTGTATTTACCTCTTTTCCTATGCAACGTAAACCCTAAACCCTCGGGGGCGCAATCGAGGTAGCTAGCTAGCTGTAGCTAGATACATGTAGCTAGCTGTATCCAGCTAGCTGTAGCTAGTTAGTTGTAGCTAGCTGTATCCAGCTAGCTGTGGCTAGCTAGTTGGTAATTGGGGTTAGATGGGGTTGAACCTTAATTAGGGTTTAGGGTTTACGGTTAACTAGGGTTTAGGGTTGACTAGGACAAACGGCTAGCTGGGGTTTCTAGTAAATTAGGGTTTAGGGTTAGCTAGGGCTGACGATTGACTAGGTTTTAGGGTTTATTAGGGTTTATTTTGATCTAGGGTTTACGGTTAGCTAGGGTTTGGTGTTAGCTAGGGTTTACTCTTAGCTAGGGTTTAGGGTTTGGCGTCGGGCTAGGAATATTATTATATAAAAAGATAATAAATATTAATATAATATAATATATAAATATAAATAATAAATAAATAAATTAGGGTTTTTATTGCTACTGTAGCAAGAAAAAAACCCTAAAATAAGTAAATATTTAGTCGCTCTTGGGGCTGCATGCGCCGGCAGAAGGCGAGAGGCGGCTCAAACCCTAAACCCTAAACCCTAAACAACTGCAGTGTATTAGGGCTTGGGGTTTAGGGTTTAGGGTTTAGGGTTTAGAGGCCATGACGGGCTTAAGGCCTAGCGACTAAATGGAGGGGGGGGAAACCTTCGGGTGTACAGACACCCTACCCGGCAGCATAAACCCTACACACACCCAGCAGCAGCAGAAGCAGCAGCAACAGCAACAGCAGCAACTGTTGCAGCAGAGCGGCGAGCAGAAGGAGCAACAACAGCCGGAACTGCAGCAGCTGCAGCAAATCCCCGGGCTGCAGCAGCAGCAACAGCAGCAGCAACAGAGCTGCATGCAGCAGCAAGAGGGACTCCTGGCACCCTCCCAGCCAGATATAGGACTGCTTCTACACCAGCAGCAACAGCAGCAGCAGCAGGAGTTGCAGCAGCAGCAGCAGCAGGAGTTGCAGCAGCAGCAACAGCCGCCTCCGGGCAAGCGTGTGTCTCCCCAAGGGAATTTAGGTCTGACTGCTAAGAAAATAGCAGCAGCAGCAACAGCAGCAGCAGCAGCAGCACGGGCGGGAATCATAGCAGTACCAGTAACAGCAGCGACAGCAACAGAAGCAGCAGCAGCAGCAGCAGCAGCAGAAACAGCGCACGCAGGGACCCTACCTGCAGAGGGAACATCTTCTGCTTCTAGGCTTCATACCGCTGTTGCTGCTGCTGCTGCTGTTGGTGCTGCTGTTGGTGGTGGTGGTGGTGCTGCTGCTGCTGCTCAAGACGTACAGGACAGGGGGCAGACAACAGCTGCTGCAGAAGCAGCGCCAGTTGCTGCTGCTGCTCCTGCTCCTGCTGCTGCTGCTGCTGCTGATTCTAGCGTAGCTATAGCTGGTGACAACTGTCTGGGCTTGTATCCAAAGAGCGCAGCAGCAGCAGCAGCAGAAGCAGCTGCTGCTGCAGAAGCGGCAGCTGCTGCAGAAGCAGCTGCTGCTGCAGAAGCGGCAGCTGCTGCAGAAGCGGCAGCTGCTGCAGAAGCGGCAACTGCTGCAGAAGCAGCAGAAGCAGCAGCAGTAACAGAATCAGCAGCAGCAGCAGCAGCAGCAGAAGCAGCGACAGCAGCAGTAGCACCTCCTGCTGATTGCACCGTAGGGGATCAAGACTCTCAAGCAGCAGCAGAAGGTGCTGCTGCTGCTGCTGCTGCTGCTGCAGACAGTGCAGCAGAGCCAACAGCAGCAGCAACAGGGGAAGCACAAGAGGCGAACCCCACAGCAGCAGCAGCAGGAGCAGCAGCAGCTGCTGCTGCTGCTGCTACTAATGGTGATGATGATGATAAGGCCGTTGAAGTCATTGAGCTTGAGAGCAGTGATGTACGAAACCCTAAACCCTAAACCCTAAACCCTAAACCCTACCAAACCCTAAACCCTAAACCCTAGGTGGGGTATAGTGTATACAGATTATGCTTGTTGTTGGTAGTTTTTTCTTAGGGTTTAGGGTTTAGGGTTTGCGTACAGGAGGACTGGGTGGAGCACTGGCAGCGTCCGCGTCGTAGAGCAGCAGCAGCAGCAGCAGCAACACTGAATGCATTAGTAGCAGCAGGAGAGGTGACGGATTCTGCTGCTGCTGCTGCTGCTGCTCCCTTTGTTCCTCCCCCTTCTTTTGCCAGACAACGAGACCGACCAGCAGCAGCAACAGCAGCAGCAGCAGATGTGGTGCAACACAGCAGCAGCAGCAGCAGCAGCAGGAGTTTGGGGGTTTATAGCCCTCGGGGTCTGCCTATCCATCCCCTACGTCTTCCTTGCTTCATGAATGACAGTCTGTCTAAACCCTAAACCCTAAACCCTAAACCCTAGATGCAAAATAACTCTGCAGATATTGCACAAGACAGACAACAAATTGGACCCCAAAACCCTAAACCCTAAACCCTAAACCCTAAACCCTTTTTTTGTATGCAGAAGACAGAAAAGAAACCGCGGCCTTTATTGGTGATGCCTTACAACATCGCCTCCTCGCCACTCCTCTCCTATCACCGTAAACCCTAAACCCTAAACCCTAAACCCTAGCTCTAGGGGAGCTGGATATAATGGTGTTTCCAATAGCATACAGTTGGACATAAGGACTGCCGATCCTACTACGCCTTAGGGTTTAGGGTTTAGGGTTTAGGGTTTGGGCTGTTCAGGGAGTCCATGGCGTTGCTGCGCGTCAGCAGGAAGTTAAACGATGAGGTCATCAATTTCTTCTTCTCTTTTCTCCAGGTACTAAACCCTAAACCCTAAACCCTAGCTTCTGGGTAGCAGATCGATCGGCAATTCACAGCCCGGGGTTCCTTTGAGGTGTTTAGGGTTTAGGGTTTAGGCTTTAGGGTTTGTGTGTCTAATGCAGAGGCGCAATGACGAAGCTTTAGGTCGAGGAGACACGTATGTCTGTGTATACCTATAATATATAAACCCTCCATTTAATCATATTTAGGGTTTAGGGTTTAGGATCTAGGGTTTAGGGTTTAGGGTTTAGGGTTTAGGGTTTGTTGTTCAGGGTCCCCAAGTGTCATTTTTTTAACTCGTTTTTTGATGAGCGGCTAAAGGTAGCTTCTTTTGAGGGTGTCAGCGTGAGTCAAACCCTAAACCCTAAACCCTAAGCCCTAAACCCTAGTCAAGGCGGCAAACCCTAATTCAGAACTATAACTAAGGGTATTTAAGTTGAGGGTTTGGAATGATGCCTCCGATGGAAGAACTCTACATGTGTTGATTTAGGGTTTAGGGTTTAGGGTTTAGGGTTTGTGGTTCAGAGGTGGACAAAGAAGATCGATTTGTTTGCTTATGATTTGCTGCTGCTGCCTGTACACCACAAGGAGCAGCAGCATTGGGCTTTAGGCGTTGTAGATTTCCGGTAAACCCTAAACCCCAAACCCTAAACCCTAAACCCTAAACCCTTTTTATCCGTTCCCATAACCCTCCCCTGATACTTGGAATATATCAACTCGAACAAACCCTAAACCCTAAACCCTCATCCACCCCTCCATTCCTCCAAAATTCCAAATTCCAAATTTAGGGTTTAGGGTTTAGGGTTTAGGGTTTAGGGTTTAGGGTTTGGCGTACAGGGCCGGGAAGCGGCGACTAAGGATTTACGATTCAGGGTTTGCTGGGGCTGTTTGGTCTGAGTGGTTTGAAAGAATGAAAAATTATCTTGAACAAGAACATCAACATAAAAGAGGTACAGTCTGCTGCTGCTGCTGCTGCTGCTGCTGCTGCTGCTGCTGCTGCTGGGGGTGGGGGTAGGGGTGGTGCTGCTTCTGGTGTTGCTGTACAGCCTGGTTTGTTCTTGTGCTGCTGCTTTTGCTGCTGCTGCTGCTGCCGCGGAAGCTATTTTCGTGTTTGTGCTGCTGCTGTAGTGTGCCGAGACTGCTGGTGCTGCTGCACTTTGCTGCTGCTGCTGCTGCTGCAATTTCTTCTTGGTTGCCAGGACCTGCGTAAACCCTAAACCCTAAACCCGTGTTGGTTGTTTCAGGATCCCCATTGACGGAGAGTTTTCGAGTGAATCGTCGGAAGCTCGCGGAGGTAGGGTTTAGGGTTTAGGGTTAAGGGTTTACAGTTCAGCAAGTTAGCTAGCGTCTTCTATTGGGTCCCCTGGGGCCGTTTTTTTAGGGTTTACGACTAAACCCTAAACCCTTTATTTTTGGGGTGTATGTACAGCACGACTCGCCGCAGCAGCAAACCCTCGAGGACTGCGGGGTTTTTGTTTGCTTAATGGCGGAGGCATTAAGCGATGCAAGGGAGTTTGATTTCCCTGCAGCAAACCCTAAAGAATGTAGACTTATACTGGTACGAAACCCTAAACCCTAAACCCTAAACCCTAATGAGACGATTTAGGGCGAGAGTTGCACTCGATAAATACTCCTACCTATACTCGCCTAGCAGCAAACCCTAAACACTAAACCCTAAACCCTAAACCCTAAAGTAAAGGCGAATAAGCACTAAACGCTAAACCCTCAAATGCTCACGCCAGAGTCCAGTCACTCAGATGCCAAACCCTAAACCCTAAACCCTAAACCACCCCAAATGGTGTTTTCCCATTGTTCAATGTGGCGGTTTGCAGTCTTTCTTCATACTGAAGGAGCTGCAGCGGCTGCAGCAGCAGCAACAGCAGCAGCTGCAGCAGCTAGCTGGTCCCCAACCCTAAACCCTAAACACTGTGGGGCGGGCGGCGTGTAGCTCGCGCTGCACCCCTAGGGTTTAGGGTTTAGGGTTTAGATGCTCCCCAGAGAATTAAAACTCCCCATAAGCAAATGTGCTTGTTGTACAATACCTACGACGGACCCGTAAGACCCTGAAGCAGCAGCAGCAGCAGCAACAACAGCAGCAACAGCAGCAGCAGCAGCAGAATTAGCAGCAGCAAATGCTGCTTGTAGACTCTATTCCCCCTTAAGAAATAAAGGGAGGGAAAAACAACAAAAAACATTTTTATATATGCGCAGTGTTTAGTAATGAATCTGGTGGTCCTTATCGTGTTCGAGGGTTTAGGGTTTAGGGTTTGACTCACAGCTTGGGAGGAGCTCGAGCTGCAGCAAACACACATACAAAGTAACAGAGGATGGGTTAGGGTTTATGGGGGTTTAGTGTTTTAGGGTTTAGGGTTTAGTGTTTAGACTACACACTATGGCAGCAAACTCCCCACAAACCCTAAACCCTAAATTAGGGTTTATCTTAATCTTACCTTTAGTCTCAGGGGCTGGCGAGGGTTCGTGCCGCTTCTCTGGTGGATGGAAAGTATTGAATGGCCTGCACAGCAAACCCTAAACCCTAAACCCTACCCTAAACCCTAAACCCTGGTTTGCTCTATGGTGGATACGCGACTATGTACCCTGATAGTTTAGGGTTTAGAGTTTAGGGTTTAGGGTTTAGCATCAACTCACCGCTTTCTGCTGGGCTCTTCAAACCCTCCTTGGCTAGCAGCAGACCCCGCTGGCTCTGAGTCACAAACCCTAAACCCTAAACCCCCGACAGTAGGTAACCTATATCCTTCGGCCTTGTAGCTACATTGGTACAAAAAATTAGGGTTTAGGGTTTAGGGTTTGTGCCTTACCTCCGCGATTCTTGCCTCCTTTGGGATGCGAAGGCGGAGCTCCCTCTCCTCTCCATCCTGCAGAATTCGTACAAACCCTAAACCCTAAACCCTAAACCCTAGGAGTACATTGACGATGAAGACTTCCAGCTGGAACTATTCGGCTCTTTCCCACCCACCAATACATTGAGAATTCAATTAGGGTTTAGGGTTTAGGGTTTATACACCTCTAATTCTTGGGTCATATTTAAGTGTTAATTTAAGACAACTAATACTTTAACTTAGTTTTTAGGGTTTAGGGTTTAGGGTTTAGGGTTTAGGGTATATATACCTGTAATTCTTGGATCATATTTAAGTGTTAATTTAAGACAACTAACACTTTTATCTGTTTTATTAATTAAATTAAAAATAAATAAATCATTAACATTAGGCAAAACCCTTAAATCAAATTGAAAAAGGGTTTGGGGTATACGAAGAAAATTCACAGGATCCTGAATACAAACCCTAAACCCTAAACCCTAAATCCTGAACCCTAACTAAACATTAGCCCGGGCAGCCATGTTAGACATTGACAGTCGCTCGCTAACGAAAATAAAAGGTATAAATGACTAGGGAAGGAATTAGGGTTTAGGGTTTAGGGTTTAGGGTTTAGGAGTACCCTCTGGTTCGCCGGACACCGCTCAAGACTGAGGGTATGGAACTGAAGGGTTTGCAGGAGGAGGGAGAGTCTGTCTTGATCCTATAGCAAACCACAAACCCTAAACCCTAAACCCTCTGTCCGAGAAAAGAAGAGAGGACGATTTACTGTCTGCCGCTGGGAATAATTTAGGGTTTAGGGTTTAGGGCTTACTATAGGTTCATGAGCATGGATCATCGGTTGCCAGTTGCCATACTGCGCCAAGTCCAGCGGTGTCTGTAGGTAAGAACGCAAAACCCTAAACCCTAAACCCTAAACCCTAAATCTGAATATCCCCGAGTGGTAGTGTGTTGCTTGTTTGTCCCTGGTTTGCGGTGTAGATGCAGTTAATAACGAATTAGGGTTTAGGGTTTAGGGTTTAGGGTTTGAACGTACATCATGTTGTGGTGTTCTGATGATTTGGCAGAAAGTAGCAAGAGCAGCAAAATCAATAGTAGGTATAGGTAATGCAAACCCTAAACCCTCAGCTAGGGTTTGTGATGCCCATAAAACCCTAAATTGTCCATGAGGAAGACACAAACTTTTTGCTGCTTTTGCGCATGTAAATACAAAATGATGAATTCTTAATTGAAAAAGAGGAGAAGCAAAAGGAATAAAATCCGGACACCTGAATATAAATATATATATATATATATATATCGCAAACCCTAAACCCTAAACCCTAAACCCTAAACCCTAATCTGCAAGAATCGACCCAAAAACAACCGCAGTTGTCATCCTCATCAACCCTAAACCCTAAACCCTCCTACGCCGGCAAATCATATATGAGTGCATATTAGGGTGTATAAGAGTTTATTAGGGTTTATGAGGGTAAATTAGGGTTTAGGGTTTACCCATGAAAAGGTAGACCAGGTAATACAAGAATAAATTCTTGATATCTAGATTGGAGGGTTTCTGTTTTTAATTGGAGGGGAGAAACACCAAATAAAACACAAACCCCTTCTGCTCCTAATGCTGCTGCTCGTTGTAATACTTCCTCCTATATATACATCAACACCAAACCCTAAACCCTAAACCCTAAACCCTAAACCCTAGAGTAAACCCTTTTAAACCCTAGGAAACACTCTAGTAAACCCTAGTAAACCTTAAATCCATCAAAAGAGAACAAACCCTAAACCCTCGTAAACCCTCATAGATAATTCACAAACCCTCTTTAGGATGGGGGAATTCAATATATTGCTCTCCGCTATAATTAGGGTTTAGGGTTTAGGGTTTAGGGTTTAGGGTTTACTCTTGAATTTTCTGCTGTTAGGGTTACTGTAACAGTTAATTTAGGCTTTGATGGATCTGCTCGTAGCTGCTGCAGCAAACAGCCAGAGAATGTTAGATTCTCATCGCCAACCAGCAGCACCGACTGCAGCACAGCAGCAGCAGCAGCAGCAGCAGCAGCACAAAGGTTAAGCACTAATAAAACCCTAATAAACCCCAGCAAACACTAGGATAAGCAACGGCACCAGCTTTAGGAAATAAACACAAGAAATATTCTGCTCCTGCTGCTGCATCTGCTGCTGCTGTTGCTGCAGATTCTGCTGCTGCTGCTCCTGCTGCTGCTGCGGTAGTGTGAATCCGATGCCTTCTTAGACCTGTCTGCATCCTGCAACCCCTCTAGGGTTTCGGATTTAGGGTTTATGGTTTAGGGTTTAGGGTCTATGAATACCATCTTCTTAGCCAGGGTTCCACTGGCACTTCAGGCTATCCTGCTGCTGTTGCTGCTGCTGCTGCAGTTGCTGCAGCAGATGCTGCTGCTGCTCCTGCTGCTACTCCTATTGCCGCTGCAGCAACCGATTAGGAGAGCTGCAGCAAAAAAGGGGGAAACCCTCTCCCCTTCAACTAGGAAGCCATGCTGGCCAATACTAGGGTTTAGGGTTTAGGGTTTAGGGTTTAGATCCGAGAGTGGAGGCAAAAAGAGAGAAGCAACAGCGTCGGAATGAAGCCCAAAGGCATAGCACTATGAATAATTTGTTTTCTAGGGTTTAGGGTTTAGGGTTTTATGATTTAGGGTTTAGCGTTTAGTGCCTCGCTCTACCGGAGGGCCCACGGGCTGCATGCGAGGTCCTTGCTCCTAGGCGCTAAACCCTAAACCCTAAACCCTAAACCCTAAACACTAGTACAAATGTCCAGCTGAAGCTCTGCTTTCTACACTTTATTAAATTGCTAGAACTTTTACAACTAGCGATTTAGGGTTTAGGGTTTAGTGTTTAGGGTTTTATCTGCTGCCGACCCGCCTGGGGGGCCCCCGAGGGGCCCCTACACAACTGCAACAGAGAGCGGCCAGCAGCAACAGCAGCGCGAATACGAGAAACTACTGCAGCAACAAGAGCAGCAACAACAAGAACAACAGCAGAAGCCGCAGCAACAACGGCAGCAACCGCAGAAACAGCAGCAGCAGCGGCAACTCTAGCAGCAACTGCAGCAGCAACAGCAGCAGCAAACTGCAGCAGCACAATGAATGAGCTAGGGAGGCGTTGCCTAGGAGGCGCTGCTGCTGCTGCTGCTGCGTTTACACCTGCCTTCTGTGGCCTTCCTGCAGCATCGGCAGCAACACCACCAACAGCAGCAGCAGCAGCAGCAGCAGCAAGATCCCGTGTCCTTCTACATCGGTCGCAGACAACAGGTAATAACCTTAATAATAGTAGCAGCAGCAGCAGCAGTACCTGCTGCTGCTGCAGCAATAGGCTTAAAATTCGCTGGAGAATCAGCTCTGCTGGCAGCAGCAGCAGCAGCAGCGATCCACACCACAGCAGCAGTTGCAGCAGCAGCAGTTACAAAATCAGCAGGTACAGCAGCAGCAGTCTCAGCAGCAGGTTCCGCAGCTGGAGCAGCAGCAACTGCAGCAGCAGCAGCAGCAGCACGACGAGCATCAGTGGCCGTATATTCCTACAAAAATCCTGCAGGCTTTTTAGCAGCAGCAGCATCAGCAGCAGCAGCAGCACTATCAGCAGCAGCAGCACTACCAGCAGAAGCAGCAGCACTACTATCAGCAGTAGCAACATCAGCCGCCGCACTACCAGCAGCAGCAGCAGCAGCAGCAGCAGCAGAAGGATATCCAGGCGGACAGACATATGCCGCAACAGCAAACCCCAGAAACCCTCGCCCTTGCAGAGGCCTGTCTCTCCTGAAACCCTAGCAGGCATACCATGGTAAATAATTAGGGTTTAGGGTTTAGGGTTTAGGGTTTAGGGTTTGGGCAGTGTTGGGATGTAGAGTGTTTGAGTATTTCGCTCTGCGAGTTGTTCATCTTGTTGTGCCCTTTAGGGTTTAGGGTCTAGGGTTTAGGGTCTAGGGTCTAGGGTTTAGGGTTTAGGGTTTGTGTTATAGGATGTCTGCTGGTCGTCTATGCCGGGTGATGGAGGCTGCGGCTGTGCGAGGCCCTTACGACCTAAACACTTGGACAAAATTTGTTGCTAGGGTTTGTTGCTGCTACTGCTGCTGCTGCTGTTGCTGCTGCTGCTGCTGTTGCTGCTGCTGCTGCTGTTGCTGCTGCTGCTGCACAGGATGGATAGTTTTGTGTCGGTTGCCGTGGTTGTTGCTGTTTTCCTTTTTGTGTCCTGTCTGTATTATCCAGTTATCTTCCTTAGAATTATTAGTGTTTAGGGTTTTTAGGGTTTTAGGGTTTAGGGTTTAGGGTTTAGGGTTTTGGGGTGTACAGGCAGAAATGATAATAGATTCTTTATCATTTTCTCATTTATCTCGTCTTTCTTCTTCTTGTCTACAAGTTGGTTGGCGGCCAGCAGCATTTCTTTCTTTTTCTTTTAAAAGAAATAAAAATATACAAACCCTAATTCAACAGGCTGCTGCAAGAGATGTCTGCGGTAGGGTTTAGGGTTTAGGGTTTAGGGTTTAGGGTTTAGGGTTTAGTGTTTGGTGTTTTGGCGGTAATAGCGAGTCCAGCTGGGTCAGGGGCATTTTAGGGTTTAGTCTTTAGCGGGTTCTTCTTCCCTTTTCAGGGTTTCTGGTTTAGAGTCTAGGGTTTAGGGTTTAGGGTTTAGGGTTTAGGGTTTAGGGTTTAGGGTTTGGGGGGTTTGCGCCTCAGCGGTTTTACAAGCACTCGCGGGTTTAGAGTGTATTGATACTCGCGTGTTTTGTCTCCTTGCTGACCGTCTTGCAGTACGACAAACCCTAAACCCTAAACCCTAGTTGCATATAGTAGTCACTGAACCTCGGATAGTGAGGAGTTGGTGGTTTAATAATTAGGGTTTAGGGTTTAGGGTTTGTGCGGTGTTTAGGAACCAGAAGTCATGAAGGACTGTCGTTTTTTCCAGTTGGCCTTCGTACGTAAACCCTAAGCCCTAAACCCTAAACCCTAGACAGTGCAGTTTTGATGGTATTCCCGTTTTTCTGTGTTGTTTCTTAAAGGGTTTAGGGTTTAGGGTTTAGGGTTTGTGGCCTCAGGCCTTGAACGCTCTTGCTGCTGCTAAGCTGCTGCATCCCCGTCTTCTTGCTGCTGCTGGGGATCGATTGGAGACGATCCCATTAGATCCAGCACAGGCCAATCCTCAGAGTAAGCACCAGCAGCACGAGCTGCTGCTGCTGCTGCTGCTGTTGCTGCTGCTACAGCAGCGGCTGCTGCTGCAGTGTCGCTATTGTGGCCGGATATATATGCAACGGTTGCTGCTGCTTTAGGGTTTAGGGTTTAGGGTTCTGCATTCACCACCCTTATTGCTACTGCTATTGCTGCTGCTGCATGTGCTGCTGCTGCTGCTGCTGCTGCTGCTTGTGCTGCTGCTGCTGCTGCTGCTGCAGGTGTCGCTTTGCTGCTAAATGCGCTGGCGCGTTTCCATGAGGAAGAAATGGCCTTACGAAGGGGACAGCAGCAGCAGCAACAGGAGCCGCAGCAGCAGGAGCAGCAACAACAGCAGCAGCAGCAGCAGCAGGTATTCACGAGTTCGGACTTGGAGATTATACGCCAGTCTATGTAAGCTTTATCCGCTGTTCTTCAGGATTAGGGTTTAGGGTTTAGTGTGTACGAATTAGGGTTTAGGGTTTAGGGTTTAGGGTTTAGTGTGTACGAATTAGGGTTTAGGGTTTAGGGTTTAGATGTGGCGATGTGCTTCGCAGCGATAAGTGTCTGACGAACACGATGGGCTGGAGGAGGCACAAGCAGCAACAGCAGCAGCAACAGCAGCAGCAGCAGCAGCAGCAGGAGAAAACGACAGCAGAGCATGCAGAGCAGCAGAAGGCTCAGGAACAGCAGCAGCAGCAGCAGCAAAGGCCACCTGCTTTGCTGCTGCAGGAGTTGCTGCAGCAGACGGATGCTCGCGGTTGTTGTTTGTCTCTTGCTGCTCTATCCCGTTTGCAGCAGCGAGAGGGTTTTGCTTCTGCTGCTGCCGCTGCTGCTGCAGCAGCAGCAGCTCAGGTGCCTATACACCTCAAGAAGCTGACGGCGCAGCAAACAGCCACGCTGCTGCATAGTGTATCTAAATTCAATAAGTTGTCTCCTTCTTTATCAGGGGACCTCTTGATTCACGTAAGACGAGGGTTTAGGGTTTAGGGTTTAGGGTTTAGGGTTTGGTGCTATGGGGTTTATGCAAGCAGCTCGTAGCTGTGTTAAGGCCTGTGCTTGAGGTTAAGGTATTGAGGGTCTTGTTTAGGGTTTAGGGTTTAGGGTTTAGGGTTTGAGGGTTTATTGCTGCAGCTACAGCCACGTATTAAACACTTAGACCCTGCTGGTTGTGTTAGCGCTCTTAGTGCCTTCCGTCGTCTTGGCTTAAATGGTAAACCCTAAACCCTAAACCCTAAACCCTAAACCCTCGCTAGGGTGTAAACCCTAAACTCTGGATACTGTTAGCATGGATAGGTCGAAGGCACGCCGGTTCGTAAACCCTAAACCCTTTTTCACAAGAAGGTCATAGGCGCAGACCCGTGACAGCCTTAACGCCTAGGGTTTAGGGTTTAGGGTTTAGGGTTTTGCATGCAGGAGAGGATCCCTTATCGTTAGAGCTGCAGAAGCAGGCGGCCTCGCAGATCTACTACTGCGATTGGCAGGGTTTGCATGCGGTAAACCCTAAACCCTAAACTCTAAACCCTAGTATTCCTTTATGTTGACGGCAGCCGCTAAACCCTTTCTTTGTTTACTGCATGCATGCATGGGGCTTTTTCTTTGCTGCGCATGAATGCAGTTGGCTTCTGTTGCACGAGCTGGCAACTTCCCGTTGCTGCTGCATGCACTGCAGCAGCAGGTGCAGCAAGAGCAGCAGCAGCCCCCATCTCCCGCTCTTCTGAAGTTTCGTACGTTGCCTCAAACCCCAGGACTTATTAGGGTTTAGGGTTTAGGGTTTAGGGTTTCATAGAGCTCAAGCAGCAATCGATTGTCTCCTCCTTATGACTTGCTGCGTGTTTGCAGAGGAGCTACTGGGGATTAGCAGCAGCAGCAACAGCAGCAGCAGCAACAGCAGCAACAGCAGCAACAGCAGCAGCAGCAGCAGTATATCTGCAACTATTAGCTGACAGGAGTCACGTTAGAAGCTGACGTTTCTCGACAAAAAGGGACAAACCCTAAACCCTAATTGTAAACCCTAATCCTCTTTAAACTTGTTCTAAACCCTAAACCCTAATTCTGCAAACCCTAATTATCCAAACCCTAAAAAGAGATAGTTGGTGGTTAATAAAACCCCTCAAAAAGTAGAGAAAGTCTCTCTCTCTCTCTCTCCCTCTATTCCCTCCCCACCCTAGGGTTTAGGGTTTAGGGTTTAGGGTTTAGAGGTTAAATGCTTTAGCTATATGCTCTGTGTCTCCTATATCCCATATAACAACTTGCGAACCCCCAAACCCAAATATTCCTTTTTCTTCGCTTCCTCGGCAGCTAAACAGTGGACCCTGCACCACAAACCCTAAACCCTAAACCCTAAACCCTAAACCCTAGTTTAGGGAATATATAAACTTCTTGCTGCTACATAAGGACACAAAAAGAGATATTTTTTGCTTATTAAGATATGCATAGCTACACAGAAGCAAGCAAACACAGCAGCAGCAACAACAACAACAGCAGCAACAGCAGCAGCAGCAGCAGCAGCAGCAGCATACAACTTTTAAGTCCTTCTCATGCAGCAGCAGGGGCCCCTTCGTCTTATCATCAATAGAGCGGAGGTCCCAAACCCTAGCTGTCTCATCAAGGCCGCAACTCATCAGCAACCCTGGTAGCTGCTGCTGCTGCTGCAGTGCTGTTGCTGCTGCTGTATGTGCTGCTATACGCCATAAACGAGGTGCAGCAGCAGCAGCAGCAGCACCTGATGGATCAGCAGCAGCAGCAGCAGAGGAAGGGCCTGTTGATGCACGACGGAAGTCTATACACTCCATTGATCCATCCTCAGCACTCACCTAAACAGAGACACAAACCCTAAACCCTAAACCCTAAACCCTAAACCCTAGCTCCCCTTCAAACCCTCAATTGTGCTTCTTAATCGCGTTTTTCAGCTCACAAATACGACAAACCCTAAACCCTAAACCCTTGGCTAAACCCTAAACCAGAATACGAAGCTGGGGAGTCTTAACACCAAACCCTAGTCCTCAATCTAAACCCTAAACCCTAAACCCTAAACCCTTACAAAGCATGAGGCGAGGTTTGAGAGGTTCCAGCAACAAGCCTCAGCGTCTGCTGTTAGAGGAGCACAAACCTACAAGGAGACAAAAGGAGACAAACCCTAAACCCTATACCCTAATAATATAATAATATAATAATATAATAATACAATAATATATAATATATAATATATAATATATAATATATAATATATAATATATAATATATAATATATAAT